AATTATGTGAAATGAATAAAAATGTCTTCTCTTCATGATTTGGCCCAAAAATGTCTTTGTCTTTAATATTTTGGTCAAAAAATACTCTTATTGTTATTTAAGGGGTCAAAATACTCATTTTCCAAATAAATATATTATTTATTTTCCTTTTAACACATTTTTTTTCTAATAATATTTTTTTAAATGAGAAAATGTTTATCGTACTTCAATTCAAAAAAAATCTTATTTTATTCTAATTATTTTTTATTGTTATATAAATAAAAATTAATGATGAATATACTATGAGATATATATTATCGTCGAAAGGGTACATGAAGTTATTCTATTTTAATTGATAAAATGAGATTAAGAAGAAACAAATTATTTCCTACATTTTTATTTGTTAAAGTGTTTTTAAAAGAAAGAAATCAAGAATAAGAGTCTTTAATAATATTTTAATTAGGAAGAAGATGTATTTAAAAAGAAAAAGAAATTATTCGAAAAAGGACATTTTCTACCAATTTAGTGACTATAGGGGAGTTTTTGAACCAAAGTATTGATTGCAAGGATATTTTTGACCCAAAGTATTGACGACAACGACATTTTTGAGTCAAACTATAAGCGAAGATTTTTTTTTTCATTTCACATAGTTTAAAGATATTTTTGACCCTTTTTCCCTTTTTAAAAACAGGTTAGACATATACTTGGATCGTTATTTGAAATCTCAAAGCAAATATGTTTACAAATTCAATGTCAGGTACATTAGATGAAAATTTTTATAACTTCAAATATATAATAAATTAAACATTTGGTATGTCAGCATTGTCATGTGTCAAAACTTGTACCAACTTGCATTTTAGAAAGGCTTAATTTATCGGTGGCCTCCTAAATTTGGTACAATATTTTACTTAGACATCTTAATTGAACAATGCTCATTTTAGAAATCTCATATAGTGTCTCGCTGTGTCATTTTGACACTTTTTACTTACATGTCATAATGAGTGGATACACTCACTGACCAGCGCATGAAATGACTTTTTAAGTTAATTTTTAATTATATTTTTCTTCTTCTTCCCCATTTTTATCCATCATTTTGTCCAAGTTAAATTTCATCCATTATAGATGAAGGTTTCAACAAAAATGACAGAACATGTTTTTTAAAATTTAAGAATAAACCCATTCATGAAATTCTTCTTGGAATAATTTAATATTAATTTCTTTAAACTAAGCTAAAAAATTCTTCAAACTAGCAATGATGTGCAGATGTGGGGTGGGGGTAATTTCTGCAAAAGGGATGGGAAAGTTTTTATTTTTGGAAATGTAAATTTCAAATGGTGCACAGTAGGGTATTTTTGAGCGCTTTGGAGAAGACGATCGTCGGGGGAGGGGGGAGGGGGGGGAAGATGACCGGGGGCTGGGTTCTTTTATTTGTTTTTTTTAAAAAAAAAAATTGTAATTATTTGGAAAAAATATTATGTGTCATTAATTCATTGGTCAGTTTTTATTTTTATACACAATTAATTATTTAATAATTACTTTTGATACAAATGACAAATGTCCTCGTTTAATTCGTCACTTTACATGTCATTCGAGTGTAACACACATTATATATTTTTGCTGATATTAAAAAAGGTGTCAAAATGACATAACAAGATTCTACATAAAATGTCTAAAATGAATATCGCCTAGTTAAGGTATCTAAGTGAAACATCATGTCAACTTTAGGAGGCCACTGATGGATTAGAGCTTTTTAGAAATTTCTTCCACCAATCCACCAAAACGCCCACTCATTTGGTAAACTTATTCTAGCAATTTTTATTTAGAAACATGCAAATTCATATAAAAACAATCTATGGGATAGATTGTTAGTTATGGTAAGATTGCCAACTATTTAGGTATAATTAAAGCTTATTATCAAGACAATAATTCTCCAACAATGTACAGACACAATTCATAAATAAGGATCAATAATTTATGAATTTGACCCATAATCATCAATCAATAATTCATGTAGACATTAAAATTTTATATGACTCTACAAAATATGTTTAATTTTAGTCAGAATTCTATATGATGTATTCTATCATAAACCTTAGTTTTGTCTACATAAAAGATATTATATTCTCTTAAAGAATGCATCTCGAATATTCCACAAATTCATGGAATATTCACAAAGATTAATGGATATGAAATAAATCTCAAGGAGGTTCATATCATCTTGGTTCGAGAAATACGTCATTATGACCTGACCCTCGAATCACGAAAAAATCTCACGGAGAAAAAAAGAGAGAACAATCAATGAAAGAATAAAATGATTAATTTCTTTTTCATATATTTAAAATTTGTTGCAAACCAAATAGTATTTATATCATGAATCAATCCCCAATTGATCAAGTCTTACAATTTCATCATACCTAATTTCATTACATCCAATTTTATTGCACATTTATATACCATCCAATTTTATTATCAAATGCTAATTCAACTATTATGATAACTTATTATTATAGAAAACAAATGCGTATTATTATGAATTGTTAGCAACTTAGCATATAAAAAGACATAGAGTTTACTTTTTTCAAAGTCATAAAAAACAATATTTCAAATTGGATAGGTATATCTTCTTCCAACTAATTATTTGAGTTAAGTCCAAAAAAAATAACTCTATTATTTAGCTTAATCTTAGCAAATATCTTATTATTTGTTGCTCGTCAAAGTCACAAAACTGCAAATATCACTATTTAAAGTCGGGAAAAACCGACCAAAAAATTGACGGACTATCAATATTTTTTTTTAATAGAAAGGGTGAAAAATATTCTTAAATTAAATGAAATAATTAAAAACAATTCTTCATTTATAGTTTAGTCTAAAAATGTTCTTATCATTAATATTTTGGTTCAAAAATGTCTTTATTATTACTTAATAAATCAAAAATATCTTTTTTTCTAAATATATATATGAATTTTTTTTTTAAGGAACAATTGGGTATGTAACCATGCTGATGCATGCATCAAATTCTTTTGCATTACTAATATCATAGATTTCTATATATAAGTCTAAAAATATTGTTATAAAGAGGTCTACAATGTACATCTCTTTCTAAATTTTGTAAAATACCCCTATTTTTGTTTGATCATTTTTTTTAATAAAAAAAAGAAATATATTATCTTTTGAATAACATGTGGTGGAAAAAGGGGGGGAAATCATTCAATAAAGCAACACTTTGTAGGTCCAATGCATCCTTTACAAAACTTATTAATCATTTTCTTCGCCATTTTTTAAACGTGTTTGGTATATTGAAATATACTTTTTTAGTAAATATCTTTTTTGTTTTTAATTGATTAAATTATTTTTGAACAATTTTCAAAGACATGATTTTGTTTTATGCAAAAAAGAAGAAAAAAAAACTCTCTACTCAAACATACACTAGAAAAATTAATTTTACCAAACTATATAGAAAAAATATTCTAGAACTGATATATGTGAATTTATCTCTTTTTGCAAACTGGTAATGGGAGAATACAAGAAAAATTCTATCATATATATTTATTTTGACAAATTCGTATGTTCGATTACCATCACATATAATTCTACCATATTGTTACTTGTAAAAAAAGTAAAAATCTCACTTTTACCTTTATTTTATTCAATTAGGGGGAGCCACAAATATGATGAAAAAAAAGTTTAAATTAAACTCAAAGAATAAATAAAAATAATTTAACTAAATTATTTTTTGAAAGAATGTCTAGAAGAAAAATCTAACTAGTAAAATGGATCGCAGGAGTATCTTTTAAATATTTTCTACAATCTATAACTACTGCATTTATCTTCCATTTGAAAATAATAATAATTACTCTTATATTTCTTGTCTTAATCTCCAAATATTTTAGAACAAATTCATTTAATAAAAATGGTGAGTATTTGATATCCACGACTCACGAGAGTGGTAAAATTTTGTTAAGAACGAAAAAAATCAATTAGTATAAAATATATATTTATCAATTTAAAAGGGTGTTTGGATTGACTTAAAAATTAGTCAAACCTACATTTAAGTCAGTTTTGACTATCTGTTTGACAAATATAAAAAAATAACTTAAAATAAGTAAAAAATAACTTAAAATAAATTTTAAATGACTTAAAAATAAGTCAAAATCAAAAGAAGGTCTCCCCTGTTTTTTATTTTTTTGACTTAAAAATCATTTAAGTTTGACTTTTTATTTTTAACTTAAAAGTGATACTTTATTTAAACGGACACTAAACCTTTTAATAATAGTATTCAATAGTGTAGAGATTAAAAGTTCATATCTCTCTCTATCTCTTTATTCTTTATTTAACTTTAAAAAAATAAAAAAATTCAAAACATTATGTTACTTTATGAATCATTATATTTTTTATGAGTTTCAACAGCTGATATTTTGTGTAAGAAATTATAAAAATAATTGTTATTTTGTGTAATAAACTATAAAAATAATTTGGAGATTAATTTTCAACAGCTAGTGTTTTGTTCAAGTCAATGAACAATCACATGGGTTTTCAATCTACTAGTTTTATCATTTTTGATACATTTTTTTCGTCTATATATAATTAATTAATGTTTATATATAAGTAACTAATAACTAATATAAGAAGAAAAAAAAGGAACATATCTCTAACTATATTTTTTTATCTTAAAATTTTTACGATTTTTTAATTAAAAAAATTGTACTTAATAATATAACACATACACAATAGTTTATTTTGTTACGCTACATTTATTAGTAATATACATATATTAATTAACACCAATGAATCACATGTTAGTAAAATCTCCATTTTTTCACCTAAACCTATAAAATAGTTTATGTATCAAAATTCAAGCTAATAACCAATATGGATTCATGAGATTGTTTTATCTTTGATAAAAAAATTCAACTTAACATCGAATAAAAAATTCAAAATAATACATTTTTAAAAAATAAAAAAGGAAAATACAGATGGCAAAGATGTGTTTTTTTTGTGTATAAATAAATCCCAAACCACACTTTTTCGTAATGTACAAAGAAGAATCCAATTTGGACTCCATTAACAATCACCAACCAAACACTTGCTTCTCTCTCCTCTCTCTCTCTCTAGAATCTTCTCTTTTCCCCCAATTTTCATCAGAAAAAATCTCTCTCCGATCATCCCCAATTTGATTTCAGAGGTTTTTTTATCAGAAATTTGTATACGCATGAGCTGCTGTTTGGTCAAGCTGGGGTTCGCTTCAAATTCCAATAATAATCACTTGTTCACTTGTCTTTTGATCTTTCTTCTCCATTATTCACCTAATTCCACTAGTAATAATAATAATTGTGCCAGCAATTCTGTTATACTCACATTATTATTGAGATTATTGACTTTTAGTTTATTAAATCCACATTTCTCTCGCAATTTATCTCATGGATTCTCAACACAAGAGTAATCGTCAACTCCAAAGAGGTTCGTATCTTTTATTAATGTTTTCTCGATGATTTTTTTACTTGATTCCGTTGTTTTTTTAGAGTGATTGATTAGATTATGGCGTTTAATTTGAATTTTTATTTTATTTTAGTATTTTGAATTGAATTGAGCTGATTTTTTTTTTTTAGTATGGGTGGTTATTTTAGATTCTGCAGGGTTTTAGTATAGAAAACTTAATTTGTTTGTTTTTATGGGGGATTTGTTTTAATATTTCAATTAAGTTTGTATTGTTTGAGTTGGAAATGAACTATGATTACGAAATTGTAAATGCTGAACTATGATTACGTAACCCGTTAAAATTTTTATAAAAAAAAGTTTAAAGCTTTAGTCTGTGAATTGTAATAAATCATATGGCCGATTTCAATTTGTTTGGGATGGAAAGATGGAGAGATTTATTGTACATAAAATTAAATACTAAAACCTTTTGCAGTTTTCAAGTTGCAAAGAATATATTTTTTAGTATACCTGTTATTGTGACGCGGGCTGCTTTTGTTTTTTATAATCAAACACTTTTTGGCTACTAAGTATGCTAAAAAATGACCACCGAAAGGTATAAGGGACCCTCTAAAAATCTTTTATTGGTTACTTTTGATCTCGCTTACATCTTGATAACTTTTGCTTTAGTTAGATAATTATAATTAGGCAAATGGATATGACGTCAATTTTCGGTCTGCTATATTGGTTCTCTACGAGTTGACTAATGAAAGAATAAATAACTTTGATCTGCTGCCGTTTCGATTTTACTGGACTATGAAGGATCATTGGTGTCCTTCAAGTTATATTTTGTTCTTTTAACAAAATGACCCTTTGTGATCTAAATCCCGATTCCCGGAGCATCTGATCATGGTCAGATTTATCTAATCCCACTTTTAAATGTGATTGTTAGTCATGGTACGCAATTTTAGTCGTTTATCCTAAGAAGCACATTAATATATTTAGATCGTATAACAGCAAACAATATGGTAAGCTTTTATTTGGAGGACTTGTATGCCTCTGTCACTTTTTGAGTCATTTGCCGTTTATTTAATGACCTCAAATATGTATGGTTGCCTAATTACAGGTTTCTTGATGTCTTCTCTGTTACTTTAGCAACTTTTCTGACTGAGTTTTTTGGTTTTGTCTTCTAGCTCCTTGCTTCTCAAGTGCTGGACAGAGGGCCGAGGCTTCACCATCTGTCATTGTGATTGGTGGGGGAATTGCTGGCCTTGCAGCTGCTCGGGCGCTTTATGATGCATCATTTCAGGTATGCATGTAGAAAAGCTTGTCTTCACTTGGTTGGCATAAGTGGTGATGTTTATGTTTTAACTAAGATAAGTATTTTTCTGTAGGTGGTTGTTTTGGAATCACGAGATAGGATTGGAGGCCGTGTTCACACTGACTACTCGTTTGGTTTTCCTGTTGACTTGGGTGCATCTTGGTAATGACTTCTACTCTTGCTTTTGCTTTACAACCAAGACTTTCCTTTTTATTAATGAAATTAAGTTCAACCTCTTTGCTTGCTTTGGAAATTAATTGGCTATTTGCTGATTGTTTTAGGTTGCATGGTGTCTGCAAAGAGAATCCTCTGGCACCTCTCATTGGAAGACTAGGACTCCCTCTCTATCGTACAAGTGGTGACAATTCTGTGTTGTATGACCATGATCTAGAGAGGTTTGTATTTCAAGCCCTTCTTAGTTCTTACCTCTCACATGCCAGTTTTTCTCAATGTACAGCTGATTCGCACACAAATACTTGTACTAATATACATCTAAGTTTGGTTATATTATTGATTGCATAACTATTTCCCTGACCTTGTTAAGAAACGCATACTCATTTCACCTGGCTTTAATTCTTCAGTTATGCTCTTTTTGACATGGATGGTAATCAAGTTCCCCAAGACTTAGTGACTAAGGTTGGCGAAACATTTGAGAGCATTTTGAAAGAGGCATGTTCTCTCTCTCCCTTCTTTCCCTCTCTCGCCGCACCTTCATTTCTTTGATCTTTGAATTGTTGAATATAATTTCCTTCTTCATGGAAAAGAATGTTTGTTACATGTCTTTAAAATGTGTGATGCTATGGATATTTTCTGATGAGAGCTGATTCACTTTTGTTGCAGACTGATAGAATTAGACAAGAATTCAGCGAAGACATGTCTATTGGTCGCGCTATATCAATGGCTTTTGATAGGAGACCCGACTTAAGGTACCATTTAGTATTGTTTTATTGATATACTGATCTCCTCGCCCTAAACTTAACTGAAAAAGATTAAGAAAAGTACCACTTCCGCTAAGTGACTTTTTTTGTTACAGGCTCGATGGCATTGCTCATAAGGTGTTGCAGTGGTACCTTTGCAGAATGGAAGGCTGGTTTGCTGCAGATGCTGATTCCATCTCACTCAAGTACTGGGACCAGGTAGATTTCTTTGCCCCTTCTAGGATAAAGAAGATTCTTATATCTAACAGAGCATTACTTGCAGAGACCAGTGGTTAACTAGGTTAATATATAGAAATGATCTGATGTAGTAAAACATTTTGTTCAGAAAGAGTGTGACATTTCTTCCTTTTTTGCATATGGATTCTATCATCTATGACATATATTCGCAAAGCTCATTAGAAATGATATCATTGGATCAAGAAAGAAGCACCTTGATGATGATATAGGATAGAAATTGGATTTGATAGTAGTGAGCATAATAGTTGGCAAAGATATGAATATCATTAGGGTAGAAAAAGCCAATGTTAACAACAATAGTTCCAGGTTCTGGTAACTGACTGTCAAAAATAATGTCTACCATGTTGATGCATAATGTTAGTTCTGCTGTTTTCGCAAGATTTCAGCTAAAAAATGTGTTGTATTTGCTTGTTTAATATCTTAATTTTTTGTTCAGTAGTAGGAACAAATTAAGTATGAGGGTTACCCTTCTTGGTATAAAGCCTAGCACCCATTGTTACATCTTTACCCAATACAGATATGCTGTAATGCCCAACATGCAACCTTGTATGCCCTACACCTCTTTTGGTTATGGCACCATCAAACTGGTAAACCCTGGTCTGACATTAGCTTATGTAAGAAGACTATTATCGCTTTGACCAAATAAGGACCAATTTACTTAAGATTAACTTGTGATAATAGATTCATTACTACCTAAGTATCTTCATTTTGAAAAAAAGGCTTCCGTTGTACCTCGATTGTGGTCACTTGTCAGTACATGCTCGTATAATTTAACCGTTCTAAATTTACTGTCAATCTCTTCCTTTGCTTAGATCCCCTATATCCAACATGTGTCTGTGAGTACAGATAGTAGGTGAGAGTCATTTCATTGTAAGACCAATAGCTTTTCTCGTATCTCCAGGTTCTAGTTTGTATTTCTGTTGTTATGAGAAGTTTGACATATATGCCTGTGTATATTTATTGAATGAATCTTCCTACTTGGTATCGTGCTGATCGGTTAAAATGCAAAACCCATGTATTTGAATGAGTCTTCCTAAATTTAGAGATACTACACTTAGAGATGACAATGGGGAGGTGCGGGGTGGGTTGAGCTTAACAGGCAAATTTTTTAATCCGCCCCGCCCCGCATAGACCCACCCCACATGAACCTGCCCCGCATATGCTCAGATCTTGTAACTTGTTTGTGTCAAAAGTAACTTAATGCAAGATGTCAAAGGTTCTGGAAGATAAAAATGTTTTTACTTGTGTTATAGATATCCGTATTTTTATGCTTGTATCAGTAGATAAAAGGAAAAGGTCAAACAAATTCCTGTTCAGTCTCCTGTCCCAGCAAACATTACTATAGGTAAGTCTTACCCATTCAGTTTTGTGATATACAGGAAGAATTGCTTCCTGGTGGGCATGGTCTTATGGTTCGGGGGTATCGTCCTGTCATCAACACACTAGCAAAAGGGCTTGACATTCGCATAGATCACAGGTAAGAGAAACCTACCTATTGACATCTCTGTTTCTGCACCTCCTCCTCTCTAAAAGAAAAGGGAAAAAACAGTCTTGAATGACTAATTTGTTGTTTCCGCAACCTTTCTCAGGGTTACACAAGTAGTAAGACGTTATAATGGAGTGAAAGTGACTGTTGAGGATGGGAGAACTTTTGTAGCTGATGCTGCCGTTGTTGCTGTTCCTCTTGGTGTTTTAAAATCGAACCGGATCAAGTTTGAACCCAGATTACCTGAATGGAAGGAGGCTGCCATCAATGAACTAGGTGTAGGGATTGAAAACAAGATTATTCTGCACTTTGAAAAGGTTTTTTGGCCAAATGTTGAGTTCTTGGGGGTAGTTGCTCAGAGCTCATATGAATGTAGTTACTTTTTGAATCTTCACAAGGCCACTGGCCATCCTGTCCTAGTTTATATGCCTGCGGGGCAGCTAGCCCGTGACATTGAGAAACTATCAGATGAGGATGCTGCCAATTTTGCTTTTAAGCAACTTCAGAGGATTCTTCCCAATGCGACTACTCCGGTAATGATGCAATTCCTCTGTACTTCCCTTTTTTTTAATTTCTAATCTCTGGACAAGTGCGCTGCACGTGTACCCTATGCTAATCAATATAAATATTTTAAAATAATACAGATAATATTAGAATAAGTATGCGATGGTTACACAAAATTGAAGGGAAAAAAATGCAAGTGCAAACTAATGAGCTATTAGCATTATAGCATATTTGATTGATATCTTACATATTTGAGTGTACACTACCCAACGAAATACAACTTAGTTGCTCAAGAGAGCCAGAAGAGATAAGCAATTGCAGGAATCCATTTAAATTGAAATCATAATATATATATATAAATATATAAGTTTAAAGGGAAAAAGAATGATAACAATGATAATTATAAATTGAATGTTCACTGAAACAGAGGAGATGAGGCTTTAAAGGAGAACTACTTTTTGAGAATGAACCAAATGTATTAATTCTCCACCATTAATTAAGCATTAGGGATTAGTGGATACAGTCACTCTCCATTGTCTCCTGTTTCAACTCTTCAGTTTCTTTCATTGCATTCAACTATCACTTTTTAGTATGATATATATATATATATATATATATATGATTATTGTTTCACAGAAACCTAGTAAGGATCACTTGAAATGGTTTGTTCCTAAAAATATTTGAGTTTTCTGCTATTTCCAATCTTGACTTCTGCAAATCGGTTGAACCTTTTCAAGAGATCACATTTGGTTAGCTTGAGATTCTGTTAGCTGATCAGGAGAAAGAGAACTACTCTAGGAAGCAAATATTGTCTGTGTCTTGCTTTCATATTATGTAATGATATTCACATAGCTCACTATCTTTTCCTCCTGGTCTTTCTGCAGATCCAACATCTTGTTTCTCATTGGGGTACAGATGTAAACTCACTCGGATCCTACAGCTACGATGCAGTAGGGAAGCCTCATGAGTTCTATGAAAGGCTGAGGATACCGGTGGATAACATATTTTTTGCTGGAGAGGCGACGAGTATGGATTACCCAGGTTCTGTACATGGTGCATATTCAACAGGACTAATGGCTGCTGAGGACTGCAGGATGCGTGTCCTAGAGCGGTACGGAGAGGTGGATCTGTTCCAGCCAGTCATGGGTGAGGACACTCCTGTTGCTGTCCCCTTATTGATCTCCCGTATGTAACTAATTTAGTTCCCAATTATATATGTATAGACACAGTATTTAAGTGTCATATGGGATTGGCTTAACACATCGTGTGCTGACTGCTTAGTGAAAATTGTGGAAACTACAAGGTTCCTCAATGAATGATCAAGTGTTAGCGAATGTGTAGTCATCTGTATGCAGTGTTTATGGCATTTCTAAGTGAACTAGGAGACAAGGTCTGCTAATATGTACGATGATGCAGCTGTGGAAATAAGGTCAGACTGGTTACATCTGCAAATCGCGGTGTTTTAAGTGCATCTTTCAGTTTAACAGCTATTAGCTAATGCGTGTAACATGAACTATGCTTGTATAAGATGATGTGTGTTTATCTAAGACAATTTATTCTCATTTGACATCATTTTAGTAGTTGAATTCTTCAGTATATATTTGGCTAAAGGAAGTGAAATTACATAATCCATGGAGCTCTGCAAGTTGAAATTGTCAACTTTGCTAAACACCCTTCAATTTTAAGAGAATCGATTAGTCCGTATCCATTCCAGTGTAGTCATATGGTAAGTTTATGCTCTAATCTAAATAATTAGATAGTACTAATTAATATGAAATATCCCCACCTTTGTCCTTATGGGTTATCGTTTGGTTCAGTTTTGAGGCAAAAAATGATTTGAGATATTGATGAGCCAAAGGAGGACAAAGTCAGGTATTTTCACAAAATATAAGGGTAAATCCGGACTTTTTTCCATTCTAAATTTAATGTTGTTAGTGTGTATTTTCATTTATATGCGCAGAAATTTTACTTTAAGGGTGTGTTTGGTATGAAGGAAAACATTTTCCAAAATTTTCCACCAATTTTAAATTATAACTTTTTTGTTGAAAAATTCAAAAAAAAAATTTGAAGAAAAAGTAAATTTAAAGCTTATTTTAAAAAAATATTTTTCAACTTCAATTTTTTTATCCCATCCTCACCCAACCCACCCACCT